ACTTTATCCCCAAATCATGCAAATTTTTATTGAAAATGTGAAGTTTAGAGCATTTTAGTACTACTCATTCATAAAGTATGCATTTGTAGTTGTTGGAAATGAATGAGAATGAGCAAGCAAGTTGCATTTAAAGTTTTACACTTGTTGTGAATGAACATCTACATTTTTGACGTGAGAATTACATATTAAACAATCTATTTCAATCATTAAAGACAAGAAAATGTGTAATTGTATTCAATGATTAGTCACATATTTCTGCAAATTCTAAATACGAATTCATAGATTTACTGCGAAAGGACTATAATTTCAATGAATTTCGTTTGTGTTTTTTTGGATAAAATTATACATGTCACAAATTATAGTACGATAAAAATGAGTCATGGAGATATTAAATCTAAACAAAACAGAGATCATATCAATTGAAATTGCCTCAAGTCAAGAGTTCACCAAAGTGACTGAATTTAACTTCAGAGAAACCTTCTTTTTCTCCTATCATAAAATTTCATTAAAAGCAAACTTGAAAGGCACCATATCCCCCACCTCCCTAACCTTGACAAATGGAAAATCTGCGGACCCTTTGTGTTGCAATAAAGGATATTTCCTTGTGGGTTTCATTTTAATCCTCTACATGTGAACAATTTCAAATACTAATTAGCAGGAAGTAATAGATCAAGCTAAATCGTTACGAAATGTGTTCATACGAACGAACATCTTGAGGAGAAATTCAAAATTCATCTGCAAAAAAAGAAACATAAAGAAATAACAAAAGTCGGATGATGATATGTCATGCATTTCATTCATAATAAACATACATGAGCTGCTGAACAAATTTTGGCTTCTAAAATCAACTATCAAAATAAGTGAGTCAACTATCGAGAATTTCAAAGACAACCTGTTAAGAACGAAGTTTATCGCGACAGATGATTCCATGACTGTCGAAATTACCATTTACATTTCACATTCATATTGGTTTTCCATGGTGAGTATAAATGCAAAGACATTATTAATAATTCCATAAAATCAACAGTTGAAGTTCATGAAATAAACTAATAGCCTCAATGTGTGATTTTGTGCAATGTTCCATTTACATATTCAACATCATTGTCTAAATTTTTGAGCCGTTAAGAAGCTAAAAATTTTGGCATGCAAGCTAATATAAATTCAAGAATAATGAAAGACCAATTGCAAACATTATGCTTAGACTTGCAACAAAATAAAAGTATTTTACATTAACATATAATAGTGACAGAAAAAAAAACGCACTTCACACTCGCAAAAAATAAACCCTTTGGCAAAAAATAAACCCACTTCACACTCATTAAGATAGTATTTTTACATTAACATATAATATATTTTACATTACATGAAACTCACTTTACGCACAAAATCGAAAAATAAGTAAAATTAAATTTCACATATGGAGCGAAAAAATGAACCAATGAACTGAAAAAGAAGTTGGCGGCTTCACTTCGTTTTCTTTCTTCTTCTTCTTCTTCTTTTTTTTGGGAAACAATCCTTTATTCGTGTTGAACACAAATAAATTATAGAAATAAAATTATCAAAACCAATTTCAAACACAGAATTTCTAAATTTTCTCGTACACCCAAAGAAAATGAGAAAATGACAAATAATAGATTTTTAAATCTGTGCAAATATATCTGAAAATCCTAAAATTTGAAAAGAATTCTTAAATATTTAATTTATTTATTCATTTCTTATATCCAACATATTTTCAACAACCAAGCATTCCCCAAAAAAAAATGCAAAAAGAACAAAACATAATTTTTTCCCCACCAAAAACCCAAAAATAATAAAAAAAAATTATTGATGATGATGATAAATCATGTATGAAGGAATCATAGAAGGAACCCAAACCTTTAAAAAAAAAAAAAAAAAAAAAAAAAAAAAAAAAAAAATCTTGATTGCTGGGAAGAAAAAGATCTCCAAAAATGTCGAAACTTGGATTTCTTTCACAAATTCTCTTGAAGGGCACGAGAGGTTTCTTTCAAATTTTTGAAATTAGTATGAACATTGTCTTTGAGATAGGTTTAGAAAGTCGGGAGGATGTGGTGTGGTTTAGATGGGTTTGATGGGATATTTGTGTATTATTTTGTTCAATTTTTCATCTAATCACATTAACATTAATTATAGACAAATATGGAATTTAAATTGTCTACATGAATTAAAAAAATAAATTAAAAGTGATATTTTTGCAAAGATTATTAAAAGCGATATTTTTGAAAATGTAAAACCAAAAAATGACTTAGGGTCAAAATATTAATTTTTCAGCAATTTTTTATTATTATTATTATTTTTTATTTTTTTTTTGGTTTAACTATATTAGGAATGCCTTCGCATCAGTGAAATGGGTGAAAATGGCACCATGTCCTTTTAAATGGATATCATATTGTACACCAAATATCGTCGATAATATTTTTGTGATAGTTAGAAATAAAAAAGAGCTAAGATGTTGCATTTAACCATCTTGTATTGACGAATTTAATAAAATTTGATCAATTTCGTTGCTAGAAAATTCAACGGTGCGTCAGCGTATGACGACTAAGTGTAGGATTGAGCACAATTTATTTAGTAAGAGGAAAGTATTTTCACAAATTTTAGGTTCATACTCGGGAACATAAAGACAAACGCATATGAAATTGATGAAAACAATATCGTGTCATTTGAAATGGGTAATTATCGTTTTTGTGCATGGGATCTCGATTTCACTAAAAACATTCTCACTTATTTTTAAAAAATTTAAAAATTAAAAAGAGTCAAGATATTGCATTTCGCTGACAAACTAAAAAATTTGATGGATTTGCTGACATGACAAACGAAATTGTTGACATGAGACATCGTTATCGTTTGTTTCGTTAGTTGATAACAAATCAACCAAACAATACTTATAAAAAAAATGCGATTAATGTGAAAAAAACAATGAAGTATTAAATAAAAATACAGAAAATAAAAATAAAAATAAGGCAAAGGTTAAAATTCAGTTACACTTTTTACAACTTCAAATATATGAAAGCACATTTTTAATTAATTTTTCATCAACTAGCTAAAATAATATGTCATGTCAACATTTTCATTTGCCACATCAATAATCTCATCAAATTTTCTAATTGTGAATTTATTGAGTGACAGAGGAAAGAATGATTTGATAATTTCAATGACCAATTGAAAAACTTTTAAATTTCAACGACCAATGAAATAACAATTTACTAAGTTCTATGATCTTTTGAAAAAATTATAAAATTTAATGACCAACAAGATAACAATTTAATAAGCTCAATGGCCATCCAAAAAACTCTTAAAATTTAATGTCCAATGAAAAATATTGTGCAAAATTTAATGACCATCTGAATTTTCAACCGCACTACACGACAAACGGTAATGACCACGCACGCGCACATGGGGGTCGGGATTATTTTATTCGATCGGGACCAATGCATTCCATGTGAGGGCACGATCATCAAAACTGTCATCCGTGCTGGTCAAGTCGCATTATTCTTGAATTTTTAACCCAACTAGCTCAGATCATAATTAGACGGGCCTTAATCGACCTGAGTCCGGATACAAATGAATTGGTCCAAGTTGTCTTTCCAACATATTTTGCCCCTTTACAGAGTAACGCTGTAACAACCACATCGTTTATTGAGAAGGCTATAGAACTGTATAATTAGAGTTAAGAGTCATACTTTCATTACACTCTACAGCACTTGGAAAAAGACCACAGGATTGGTCAGAATTTTACTTTCTTTCTAGAAGTAAAAAAGTACACAAGTAAATTTAACTACTTTTAAGTTTCATCAAACACGCTCGCGCCCGTATTTACAGATTGACGATACAATTGTGGTAATTTTCCACTATGTATTACACTGTGCATCCATGGCATGTTTGTTCATTCCATCTCCATGTCGTTTTGTTTGACAAACAGACAAGACAATGTCGCAACGTAGTTGACAAACTAATCCCATTTGGCCCCCATTTTTTTAAATGATAATGTGTAGAATAATATTTTTTGGAGAATTAATGGTTGAAAAAGAAAGAAAATGATTTTGATTTACATTTAATATTATTTTATGAACAATTGTTTGATTAAAAATAAGATAAAGAAAAATAAAATTCAGTGCATGTTCGGTGTAGATTTTTTACTCCAAAAAATCAATTTTTTTAAACGTTATTTCACTATGCAAACCATCATTTTTTACTTCTCCTCTAACAGGTATGACCCACTTTTCTCCCCAACGGTCAAATAATCAATTATCAAAATCACTATCGAACAAACCCTTAGTTTAGCCCATGTTTATTTCTCATTTTTTTTCATTAAAATGAAAAATACGACCATTATCCATCACATTAAGTCACTGAATTTGAATTTTTATCTCTTACGTAGAACTCATAACGATTATATTTTTCATTCTCATTTTTGTGAGAAACAAACGGCCCCTTAATGAGGCCAAACGGGTTTTAAATTGACATGACCTTTACACTTGCCAACTAAACTGATAAATCACCTTTTCAGCTAGTTAAATCAATCGACGTGGACAACTTAACATATTAAGACAATTTTCAACGGGCAACTTAAACCCTTATTTGAGCCCCATTTTTTAAGGAAAAATGAATTTTTCATTCGCGTATTGATATGAAATGTATAATTAAAAAATAAGGAAAAATTTTAAATTTGCATGTAATTTCATTTTATTGAAAAATATGATTATAACGATGTTAAAGCACTGTAGAAAAATGAAATTTTTTACCAAAGAATAGGACTCAAACTAGGGCTAAAACAAAATAAATTTGCCCCTATTTGACAACCATTATTTTAAAACTCTTTTTTCTATATAATACTCATTTTCGACCACACATTCATACAATAAAATATTTTGCCCGTAAAATCAAAACTTTTCCCTCATTTTTAACCACACATTCTTAAAAAATAAAAAAATAATAAAAAAAGTGATCACTATTTAAAACTTCATTTTACCCTAATATACTTCCTGAATTTCAGTTAAATTTTCACTTAAAATTCAGTAAAGCGACAGGTCAAAACTTTCTATTTACATAAACACATAGATAGCTACAAATCAACCATTTACTATTACAGAGGTTCGAATCAGCACCCACAAAATAGCACATAATACTCCAAGCAAAGAAAAACATAAAATATTTGTAGGTTTGCGTGAACTTCTTGAAGTTGCAGAGGTATTACCTGCAGCAACGATCGCGTTTCTAGAATTTATTCTCATCCTACCGAAGCTAGACATTCGCTCAAAAGCCCTGTTTACCAAAGCACTTTCCGAAGCTGAAGCAGGTGTTGTAGGTATAGACTCCACAAAATCCCAGATAGCAGAAGACAACAACGAGTCTGTACCGTCATCCTGTTCGCCGCTTCGATTTTGATTTTGATATAGTTTGGTAGAATGATTGATAGAATTATCAAAATGTACCACACCTAGACATACGAAAACTAGGTAAAATCAGAAAACAGTCTAACATTAAATGATTAGAAGAAGAGCTCTTCAAGCTGGCTCAAACTCCCCCATTTCCACTTGGGCACGAGAATTCTTGCCTCGTGGAAGATGACATGGTCTTCCCATACCATCCATCTGACCAAGAGGAGCTCTTTGAGATTAGTAAAGAAGAGATTTTAATGTTGTACAAATATATGAACAATCAACTGCGATTACAGATACATTTTAAGGTGCTCAAAAACGCCGTCATTTAAATTTGCAATTAATTCAGTACCTGCAGCAGGAGAAGGAATGACCATCTGATTTGCTTCTATAGCAGAAGAATTGCTGGATCCTTGCTCACGCATCCATAGCTGATAATTGGTTTCATTTAAAAGAGGCTCATCCAGCTGGCAATTCATGGCTTTATTCACAAGATTATTGTTTAGAGAAGAATTTGAAATCAGGTTTATGAATCCATTCTCTAAATTATTCGTATACGATCGATAAATCTTGCCAGATTCAGTCTCTCGAAGGAACATGGCTGCATCTTGGCATAAGTCAAGCTCGCTCAATCCGTCAAATTCATCAAACTGAAGTTCCTCCGTGATGTCTACTGCTTTATCAAGAGTGAGAGAGTTTGGTTCCTGACCAACTAGATCGTCCAATTCAAGAAAATCTTCAAGGAAATCCCCTTCAAACACGTGACGCTCTAAGCCATTTGGAGATAAAGTGGACTTGAGTGCCTCGTATTCTTGTAACTGCATTGTGCCCAACTGTGTCAGGTCAAAATTGGCTTGCACGTTAGATTGTTGGCTGCACGGTTGGAGGACAGCACTTAGTTCAGGTAAAGTCACGTCCTTTAAACCATGATCAACCAAAGTGCTCAGGGTTTCTTCCTCACCCACAAACTGTTCCAGTACAAAGCCATTATCAAGAGCAAGAGGGGGAAAAATTTCAGGGTCGTCATCATCGCGGTTGAGGAACTCCTCAAGATCACGTATGGTATTATCTAAAGACACAGCTTCATAATCTTTCTCTGCAGAGTTCTCATTGTCAATAAGGCCATTGACATCTAGCTTATCATCATCCCATTCCTCTTCCCTAAAAGGGGCGCCATATTGTTCACCGTTTTTGGGACCAGGCCCGCTCTTCTTATATACCTTGTATAGGGCATAGTCATCCTGTGCATCCTGGCATCTCTTCAGCTCCTCCTCATCCATGGTATATTCATGCATCACCCAGTCTGTACGTTCTCCTCTCCGTGCACGGCCTTCATAGAAGACCAGTGTCTTCTTCACCCCAACAGGGCGAGAACTACGTGTGATGAAACGATCCTTCCCTGTCATCTTCCAGTATCCATGCCTTGTTCCCCTATTTGACCGTCCTCCATTTGGCTTCCTATCTCTGTGGCTAAAGAAGAACCATTGCTTGTCGCCAGTTTTCAATTTAGATAACCCTGCATTTCATACATGTACAAACTCAATCAACAAGGATCTAAAGCCAAAACAATCAAAAGTGAAAAGTAGGAAAACATTTGGCATAAAACTAACAAAAACAATAACCAAAATCGCAGTAAAATAGACAAACCATTGATCATCCTGTTCTTTTGACACTCGCACCCCTACATCCAGCCATTTGCAAACAAAATACTGAAATCTAAATATCTGGACAGTTAGTCAAAACTAAGATTTACAACAGAAGTAAGAAGGTAGGATCATTTATCAATCTTCAATTTTATAAGTTTTCCAGTCCTTAGGACATAAAAACAGGCACAAACTAATCAATTCCTTGTTTTCCTAAAGTTAGATATGAGCTCTTCATCTTCCCCTCCTGATATTACAAAATCAACAATCTGAAATTGAATTTTCAGAAATCAGAATACATATATTTTTTATTTATTATTTATTTATTTATTTGAGGGGGGGGTGTGGGAATCATCTCAGACCTGAAAAATAGCATGAATTAATCAAGCAAACTAGTTTTCAACACAATCAAATTACTCAGTAAAAAAATAAGCCAAAACTAATCATACATCACGTTGACTTCAATTTTTGATGAACCATCAATCCACCACAGATCTGTAACAACAACCCTAACAAATAAACCCATAAAAAATCGTTTAAACAAAAAAATCAGATAAAAACCAAGTTTAAACAAAAATGAAATTCAAGAAACAAAAATAAAAAAGCAGCCCAGATACTAAAATGAAGTCAGCGATCAGATAAACGCCTAAAATTAAAATCAACACCATAGAAAAATTAAAATTCTGTAACAACCCAGCGGTAAAACGGGGAAAAAACTGAAAATCGTACCAGGCAACTCTTCTGGATCCCACTTATAAACATCGATTTCTCCGATGACGTCAAGACGGTGCTTCTTTTTACAGATCTTCTTCTTGAGATAGTAAAGCACAAGCTCTTCATCGGTGGGATGAAATCGAAAACCCCGAGGAAAACATTTTTCGTCCCCGAAACACCCAGAACCCGAATCCACGGTCACCTTCATCTTTCTTTTCTTCAAAAAAAATTGGTAAAATTCACAAAAAAATGTATGTATGGGATGTTGATTATTTAGATGAAAAAAGAAAAGAGATTTTGATTTTGAGAATTGGCAAAGACTAGTACAAAATCAAACGGCGGAAGGTGAAGACAAAATCGTATAGTCAACGGAGAACGCGTCGGGGACGCGGAGTCTCTGTAGAGTCGGCGGTTTTCTTTTGGAATTTGGAGGCACTTGTTCATTTATTAGGGGAAGAGAGGACTCATTTCATAATCCCAATTTTATTTTGAGTAAATTAATTCAAATGTCAACTATCACGTGTCCATTTACAAAAATATCTATTTTCACAAATTTTTATAAAAATGTTCATTTTGAAACATTTTGGACCAAAATATCCCAGTGAACAATTTATGATTTCACACAAAGACAATAAATGGATATTTTTACAAAAATTTTATTGGTCAATAAATTTTTGACATATAACATATCATATTTATTTCAAAAGTGCACAGTCAAATCACAACTAATATTATTTTTTTCATTGACACAGAAACGTCAAAAATTACATTTCAAGTGTAGAGACATGTCATATTCAGAGTGAAATGTCATTCTACCTATTTAAAATGTCGAGAACAACGTTTGAAATATCGAGAATATTTAATATTGTGATTTGATATGTATACTTTTAAAATATAAGTGGGATTCAAATATCGAGAATGACTTTTGAAATGTCGATAAAATCATTTTAATGTTGCTTATCATGAAAGCTACTTCTCGAAATTTGCAACAAATTGAAAAAATAAATAAATTGCTTCTATTTTTCATTAAGGGCACAATAGACAGTTTAGTGTTAAATTTAAAAAGTTGATATTTTCCAATTGACACACATAAAATTAGACGTTTTTGAAAATACCTCTTTTATTTTTCAAGTGCTCAATCTTCAATTTCATCTATATATTTTATGGGATTTACAATTTAACTTTTTAATCATATATTTTACCAACATTTATCAAAAATTTTGTCACACGTCCCTAAATTTCATTCATTGTCACACTCAACTTTTAGTGAAATCTCAATCAGACTTTAATCTAATTTCAAATTTTATTGTTTCTATCACATTTCGTTACCTATCTTCTTCTAAACTAATAGAAATTGTATGGCTGGTAATTATATTGTTACTTATTTTCATTTAATAATTTTGTGCCTACAAACGAAAATAATGAAACAGAGGTTATGGCAAGATCAGTAAATTAAAATGCTAAAAAGTGTTTTTTTTCCCCCGACACATTTATGACATGACGTAGAGGTAGTTTAGCATGTCACGTGGCAGTTACAGGAAAGATTTGTTATGGGATAATTGTCAATTAAGCAATTTTTTTGAATTTGAGAGATGATAAGGGTGTAAAATTGAAATTATTTTGAAGTATAATCACTTGATTGAGATAAATTAATAATTAGTTGTTCATTTGAGAATTAGCTGAAAGTTCTATGACTGCTGATGAAATTTAACCTTCTTTTTTCTTTTTGTTGAGTTTTTATTGGTTCAGTCAAAGGAAAAGTTTTCGACATAGAGCCGGGACGATTTTTAACCCTTGTTTGATCATCGTTATTTTTAAAATGCATTTTTCTCTTCTTCTTTTTTTTCAATTATAAAAAAAATAAAATAATATTTAAATTCAAATTTTTTCTTTATTTTTTAACCACATATTTTTTATTAAAATACTATCGTAAAATGCATTTTCATAAAAAAAAAAAGGAAAAAAAAAAAGCAAAGGGGCTCAAACAAGATCTTAATCGCTCCTTTGGATAAACCTTAAAAAATAATAATAATGATAATAAATAATAAATAATAAAAAGAAAAGAAAGTTGAACAAATTTAGGTTCTATTTGGCATGACTTTCAAAAAGAGTTTCTAAGATTTAACCTCGTCAACTCCTTCAAGCGACTTTCAGATCCTGGCCCTATGGGTCATTTGGCTAATTTTATGAAATTATTTTTCCTAATTGGAAGAATTTTTAAATGAAGTTGATATAATGTGATTTCCACTAAAAATACTTCCGAAATAAGAAATTCCTTTAAAAATTAGTTTTCGAACAAAAATAAATGTAACTTTCTGCAAAAGCTCTCTTTTGTAAGAAGCAAAAACAAAAGTAAACATTAGACCAAATGGGTCCTTAAGTAAGTCCCTGTGGCGTAGATATTTTTTAGAATATGTTTTGGAAAAAATTATGAGATTACAAATATTAAAAAAAATCTGAATCTACATGCAAAATTATTTTATTAGAAAAGATTTGTGGGTGAAAATGAATTTATAGAAAAATGAAAGCAAAACCTAAATGTGCATTTGATCAAAGTGTACTTATATAAGTTATTTATGTTCGACTACATAGTTATTATTAAGTAAAAGCAAATATATTAGACAACCAAAAGCTCGTGTGAACAAGCAGTGAGTGAAGAGTGCAACTGTCAACTACTTGGTCGATCCCTTTATAAGCAAAATACTTCTTTTTATAGTCCATGTTTGAGTCCCATTTTTCTCAAAACTTATTTTTTAAAACTCGTTTTTACCACATATCCTCCCAGAAAATAACTTTCCCCATAAATTTAAAACTTTTCTTATTATTTAACCATACGTTCTCCAAAAAATCACCATTACAAAACACATTTCCCTCAAAAAATAAAAATAAAAATGGAGCTTAAATACGAGCTATGATAAGACTTCCATGGCTTCTAAAGTTGTTGGCTTTACATTTTTTGCCCCCAAAATGGAATAAAAAAGACAACTTTTTTAGCCAAACATGTATGGCAATTATTCATTACTTAAAAGTAACTTTGATCAATATTAAAACTTGACCAAATATGATGTTTTCATGGTTATCTATTGGTGACTCATATCAACGTGAAATATCACAGCTAGAGTACAATTCACTTTGCAAAGAACCAAGTATTAATGGATAAATCCATTAACATTTTTAGCCAAACAAGTTTGGCAAATATTCATTACTTAAATGTAACTTTGATCAATTTTAAAACTTAACCAAACATGATGTTTTCACTGTTTATCTTTTGGTGAATCATATCAATGTGAAATATCATAGCTAGAGTACAATTATACTTTGCAAAGAACCAAGTATTATTACTGGATAAATTACACGTCAACTAATTATTGAAATATTAATCAACATATAAGCACTTAAACCACTCTTTTGAAGGGTTGATCTTTTAAAATAAAATCACAAATCTTAACATGGTATTAGAGTCTATTAAACTCCAACAAATTATTTAATCCAATTAAAACTAAAAAATGAGTATTAATCTGCTCAAACGAGTCACCATATTACGGAACATGTTAAGGAATAAATCATAGATAATTTAATTACCAAAATATAGACTAACATAAAGAATGTGCATTACTCTTCTTAAAAATGTAAACTCAAGTTTAATGAGAAACTATACATATCTAAAATGTTTGAAAGATAGAATTTCAAAATTAAAAAATATGTTCTAAAATTTCAAAATTCAAGTGATAATTAAATTTCATTAATTAAATAGATAACTAAAATATTTTATTGCTTAATTATATTGAGGTTACTATATTATATAGTTTATTATCAGAATTACGTATTAATTATATAATTATAGAACATCACAGTCACAAATCACAACTTTATACATCATAAATTATCAAATTAATATGTCACAACTTAACAAATTATGAGTCACGATTACAAATTTAGTCGCAATCTCATTTTTTTCAGGTCACATATTATCTATTTTATCAATCATATATTATTTATTACTAAAAAATTAACCAATTTATTGATCGTAACTATCCAAATAATTGATCATAAACACTCTTTATCCCACCCGACCCCAATTTATTATCGACACCAACCGAGTGTCGTTCCATCTCACTACAACAACTAGCAACACCATTGCAGCACCAACAACAACATCATTAGCATACCACCAACCAAAATCACCTCAAACCTCTAGCTATGCAACAGAACGAAGGAGAAAGAAACCACCACAAAATCACCCCCAAAACCACCCCATAAGCATTACCCTGTGCAACGATGCTCGCCGATAGTCTTTTGGTGGTTTTTGGCGATGATCTTCCATGTGTTATAAGGGACTGTTTTTCTCGTGTTTCAATTTTGTAGTTTTAAGTTTTGAATTCATTTTGGGCTTTGTGTGTTTGAGTGCCTGTTTTGAAATTACTAAAAATACGTTCTTTTTGTCATTTTGAAAAACTGTTTTTCAAAACATAAAACTGAAAAACGCGTTTACTTTGTTATTTTGAGAATAATTTTTTATAATATTTTATTCAAGAAATATAATTATTCAATAATTTTTAATACTTTAATATTAATATAGTATTAAATAACATATAAATTTTGAAGTTAGTGAATCTTGAAATATTTTTCGATAGATATAAAAAGCACAACCTAAATTAAATTTGGCAACACAATTCACTAGATACTATTAAAAGTTTACGTGTCATGGCAAAACAAGTAGGCACTAAATAAAATATAAAGTACAAGCTACATTTCATGTGAGCCGCCCAAACTATTTTTTTCGACAATTAAATTCAAATAAAAGACATGGGAAAAGTACAAAAGCTCAGTTTGAGAGCCAAAAACGACCTCTTGATTACTTCATACAAATGAAATATATATGTATGACTAAGGACTACATACAGATTCGTGTAGCATTCCCTTGTGACACGATTGCCAAAAGCTAAAGCACTTTCACACAAGAACACGTCATCAGACCAAAACTGCAAGGTTTGGACAATGCAACCAGCGCTCGCCCGATCTATCGCAATTAACTAGCTGCATTATGTGCTTTCTGCTTCCTCAGTTGCAATCTCAAATGGTTATACTTTGCTCTTATTCCCAAAGGAAAAAACATAATTCCATTTCAATCATTTAGCCATATCATTGCAAATATGAGAACTAAAAGAACCGCATACTTAAATTTCGAGTCGTAGCTTGATATGAATGCATGAGCAGGCCAACACCAATTCCCTCACCAAAGCACATTCCAAGGCCTATTCCTACACCAACCCTTACACCAGCATTGAACCAATATACTTGGTATAGGCCAAAATATTTATGTAGCAGCCAAACACCAAAAACAATTTCCAATCTTATTTGCTTAAAGACCTCAAGTCCTGGTATTTCTTGATTACATTTAGCAACTATCAGTAATTTGTACAATAAGAAAGAATACTCTAGTCTTAAAAATAAATAAATTATGTAACTGACAATAAACAAATTATACGCCAAACCCAGTGAAATGATACAAAAGGAAAAAAGAAAAATCCTAAGAAAAATGTGGCAAAACAACATAAGGTAACAAATTCAACCTTCATTAACCTCTCCTTCCATCTGAAGCCTTTGTTGCAAGGTAATAATATTAAGTTTAGTGCTTTTGTTTCCGCAAGAATATCAACAAAAAGCCATATTTTCTCCAAGCCCAGTTGATTATACGTTCATATCCACATCTTCCATAATATGAGCTGATGATGCTAATTCCGTCAACTGCTTGCCATCAAGCTTTGATATAAGTTCCATGGAAATGAAATTTTCTTGTAAGCGCAAGAAGTTTCCTCCGTAAGTTTCCCATCTTCACCATGGTACATGTCTTCCACGTAATAGCTGCATTCAGCTTTTCCATCCATTTCATACGCATCCATGTCTACATCTGTATACTGCAAAAATAATAATAATAATAATAATAAAATAAAAAAAAACCAAGGGATACTAGTAACATGAGACAGGCAGGTGACATTAAATTATTCAGTGTGCATTTACTAAAGAAAAGAATAGCATTCTTTTCAATCATATATCATAATCACGCCCAAAAGAAAAAGTAATTAGAACAAAAAGCTGCCCAACTCATCCACAAAATTCAATCTTACTATAACTAAAATTATTTTGGCAAAACCAAATGCTGTCACAAATGCATTATTGAAGCAGAAAAAACTGCATATTAGTGGATGCCATACTTATCAATGCTTGAGAATGACCTAATACGATCACACTTAGTTTCACTTTCATCAACACATGCCTATGCTTCTTCTTGTACTCCCTCAAGTTCCCAGAAGTACACACCTCAATAATGAAATTCAGCGTGTTTATCTCCTCATCCTGCCACACTGAGTACAACGCAATAATATTCTTATTTTTCAATGTCCTCAACAGCCGAACCTTGGAATATAACCGATTGATCATCGCTTCGTCTCCAAGGAAGCTTATCAATTTGATTAGGTTCCAAGCCACCTCAATCCCTTCCTCTTGTTCAAATGCTCTGTACATTCTCTTCACAGCCCCCGATCCAAGCAGCTCGCTATACCGACCATATCGGCTAGTATACGAATGCCTCGCCATCTCAATCCACCAGTTCAGAACCCATACTAGGTATCTACAGGGAAAAAAAGCAAACTAAGCCTTGTTATCAGTAAATTTGGATTCAACTCCAAGGGAGAAGTACATTAATAACTCAGATAATGAAATTCTACTATTTCCCACATGCCTCGGTACACCATAGAAATAAAAGCTTATTCTTTTCTTTCTTTATCTCAACAGTAAAAACATAAAATAAATACACATCAACAAAAATCACAAAATATGAATTTTCCACCATAATCAAGAGCAATATTTCCGTTTACTAAAAAAAGAAAATGGAGAAAAAAAATTATTGAATAATACTAAATCAAAGTATAGTAGGAAAGAAAAAGGAATAAGAAGTGATAATTTACCAGAAACGGAAGCAATTTGAGACGAATCAAACCTGAATAATTTCCCAAGAAGAGGTGAAGCGGAAAATTAGGGACAAAATTGCAGGTGACCCATGATGGTACTAGATGCGCCTGGTTGGGAGGAGTGGAGTGGTGGTGGTTCATGCCCGAAACGGTGGTCGACGACGGTGGAAATATGGTAAAAATCGTGACTTGTAGCGCAGTTTTGGGTGGTGATTGGGGCTGTTTTGGGCAACTCCATGGCCAGGTGATGACAAGAGGTTGAAGAGGGAGGTGAGGGGGTTTGAATAGTTGTGAGATCCGGTGTTCTAGGTGGCGGGTGGTGGTAGATTGTTGAGGAAGAAGGTAGCACGTCTTCCTTGGTTTTCTGCTCTCATGCACAGTAATGGAAAAAGGGCTATTTCGCGTGTTTTCAATTTTGTTGTGTTTTGTATTGAAAATGCACAAAATGTCTTTTTCGACGTTTTATGTTTTTAGTACAAATTTTTTTTCCGAAAAGTCATTTTCGAAAATGAAAAGGAGAACGCGTTTTTACAGATTTGAAAAATTGAAAATAAAAAATAACTTGAAAACGACAAAGAGAACACACCCTTAGGTTTGGGAGTAAAATGGTGATAAGCGGATGGGCGTTGGGTAAGGTGAGATGGTATATTGATTTAATGTTATAATATTATTAGTAATATTTAAAAGTTGAATTATCACTTGATTTGTGAATAAATAATTTTTAAAATTGATTTTTGAATTGAAAAGTTAAAAATCATGTGTCAGTTTAATTTCTACAAGTCTAATTGGTATTAGAGTTCATTAAGTTCAAATGAACAATTTGATCCGATTAAGACTAATAAACAAGTTATTTAAATTTCAAAAAATTAATCCTACGTTAATTAATTACCAAAATATAACCAACATAAAAGTACTAGAGCTACTCTTTTTTAAAAAATTTAACATTTTAAGATGAAAACTTAAGTTTAATATGATATCACTACTGATTAAACTCAAATGAGCAATTTGATTCGGTTAAAACTAAAAAACGAGTACATAAATTTCAATATTGATCTGCTCAAACGAATTATCATCTTGCGAGGCATGTTAATGAATAAATATCACATCGACTAATTATCAAAATATAAACCAACATATAATAATTTTAACTACTCTTAACCTTGTTTGATTCCCATTCTTTTCTCATTAAAATAAAAAATATAACCGTTATCTATCACATCAAGCCACCAAATTTGAATTTCTATATCTTGTGTGGGGCCTGTAACGGCTATATTTTTCATTCTCATTCTTCCAAAAATGAGAAATAAACGGGGCTCAATAAAATTGACATTTTAAAATAAAACCTCAAATCTTAATAAGTATACAATGCATATGATCGAGAAAACACATTAACCTTAGATACACGTGAAACTAGAAGAAAAAATCTTTAATTTCTTAGTCATAATTCTTGTAGGACAAATCACAAATTTATGAATTTACAAAGTTTGATTCAAGAAAAATCCCGAGGATTGAGAAGTCAAATAATAATCAAATCATTTAGGAGCAATATTTATAAACATCAATTAAAGGTAAACATTCAAATGTGCTAAGAAGCACAAAATTCAGCTGTCGGGCAGTTTCATTTGGACCAGTTCAGAAGGAGGTCGTAAAGTACAAACCATATATCTCTTGTCTTCCCAAAATAGACATGGAATTTTGTTTACAATTCAACTTAATGTCGATATCTACGTAAAAATATGTCAAAACGAGACGCTGATAAAAAATAATAATAATAATAAAATAACTGCTGCAAAACTTGCAATTAATGTTCGACTACTCTTATAGCCCTTGTTTGAGCCCCATTTTTCAAAAATCTATTTTTCTCCGAACTCATTTTCAAACACACATTTTTCAAAAAATTAATTTTACATGTTAACCAAAAACCTTTCTCTACTTTTTAATAACACATTCTCCAAAAACCACTATTAGAAAATCTATTTTCTCCAAAGAACGGGGCTCAAATAAGGGCATAATTTGTGTGTCAATGTAATACAAGACAAAATGCATGCAACGCAAAGTCAGTGTGTACCTCCTCAGCTTACTTTACATTTCTTCTATCATCCTTCCCATATTGCATAAATGAACCCTTAAGACTGGAATGTCAATATTCATCTATCGAGGAAAGGGTAAAATTTAGATTGCCGAAAGGAGAAATTAACAGAGTTCTCCAAAAAGATGTAAAAGAAATGACAGTAGAAACATTGCATTACAATAAAAATAATATAATCAGAAAGCATTCCGAATCGTGACCAAACACTAAGAGTATACAATTGACTTGTTAAACTTGTTATAGGAAATTGCAAAGAAAGCAGCGGAACGTAAAAGAATATCACTAAGTGAAAACATTGATGATGGGTTGAGGTTTGGTTCAACCCAAAAGAAAAAAAGCAGCAAAAAAAAGGAAAAAAAATGGAGTTATGATATTGACAGCAAGACATTCTTTTTAGGACGTTATGATAACTCAAACCATACAGTAAAAAATGGTACGAAATGCATTTCAACAATTTGGCAAGCATGCTTGCCTTGCATAGATTCCCGACATGAGCACATCTGAATTATCAAATGTGCTTCAGAAGTTATTTAAAGCTTTAACTTACATTTCCTCTTAGTTATTGCATGATTTTAAGTCTACTAATCATTTCCTCAGCAGAACCATTGGGAGTGGATCAGAACTAGGGAATATAGAAAATCAATGGAACCAAATGTTAAGATTTATGGTTCCATCTTAAAAGATCAATTTTATTAATAGAAGTAGTTCAAGACCTTTTTAAGTAAGTCAATATTTCGGTATTTAACCGATGTGGAATTTTATCCCTTAACATGTCCCCGTAAGATGGTAATTAATTTGAGCAGACCAATCTTGAAATCTGTATGCTCATTTGTTAAGTCTTAATCGGATCGAATCGCTCGTTGGAGTTTAATGAGTTCTGATACCTTGTTAAGACTTGGGGTTCCATCTTAAAAGGTCAAATTTATTAAGATGAGTAACTCAGACCTTTTTAAATTAGTCAATATTTCAGTATTTAATTGATGTGAGATTTTTATCCCTTGACACCAAATTGCATTTTAGTTTGTTCTACTAGAAACTAACAAATCTACTCAAAGAAACATTAGGGCTCAAAGATTAATGTTCTATTGATAAAATATCTAGAGTTGAAGATATTAAAGGGGAAAATGCTCTTCGTACAGAGCATTTCCTACAGGTTCTTACCGACTCCTCACTGTAAGGGTCGATCCCATGTGGAAAAAAACAATTACGTCGAGGCCTGCGACCTGCATCATGCTCCTATTTAAGGAACTAGCATGAAGCCTATTATTAGTCTGACATGTAACAACTAACAACCATATCAATAATGGATAGACTGAAGTACAATAAGATAAGTAAATAAGCGCACTAAGAGCCAGGTGACATTTTAATTTTTAAGTGATGAATTTCCCCATGACTTCTAAAAGAACATCAGCATGAGAGATTGCCATGGTATAACTTTGAAAAGCCAAATTAACTTTGATTTAAAATTTAATTAGCATTTCTAGTTGACCCAAACTAGAGCAACGTGTGATTAAAAAGTATAAATTTTTGTTGGATTTACATACAAAAGTATTATATTGGAAGAATGGTAGTTAAAAATGAATTTGAGAAAAAATAAATTTTAAATAACGAGACTCTAAAATGGACTAAGTAAATATGTTACCTAATCGCATCGTGATTTCAAAATCTTGAAATTGTAGATAATTAGAGCTTTGTGTATACCCAAAATTAGATGGACAAGGAGCAGGAAGGGTTGAACATCGCAAGCAACCTTTTAACATATTTTCTAGAATCTTTTGTTTATATATATAAAATATATATTTAGTGGTTGTTTCGACTGATCAAATATTAATTTTAACAACATATTTCATTGAATCCACAATTTTTAACAACAAAACTTTTTATTTAAATTTGTTGAAACTTATCAATAGCTTTGTCTAACACTTCGACGATTTTTGGTTTTTGAAATTGCTTCTTTCAATTTAAATGGTGACCGAGTAATTATTATCATAGATAAATATAATCAACATTTAATTATTATATCACGTTGATTCATTTGACAAAAAAAAAAAAAGAAAAGGGTTTTGGGAGTTGCTCAAAAAGAATGGTTTGTGTACCCTTTGAGGGAGTTAAAAAAATAGCGAAAACGTTGAATCATGAAGATCGTAAAGTGGCTATATTATGAAACAAAAGAGTCAGTTCGGAGAAGCGATTGAAACAATCAACCAAAGAAAGAATGACCTAGGGATGTCGATGAGTTGAGCCGAAATTTGAGGCTCGGGCTCGGCTCGACTCGAATGAAAATGATTCAAACTTTCTATGGCCTCAGTCAAGTTGGGCTTTTGCTCAGCCAAAAAATATAAATTTGACCGAGCTTTCGACTAGAGCTTTATCGAGTCGAACTAAGCCAGCTCACCTTTTTTTTTTTTTAGTATACACAAGCAGCTAAGTAGCTGCCTGCTATGTGTACTTTTTTTTAAGACTCGGCTTGTCGTAGGCTGAAAATGGCTTGTGATACCAGCCACACTAGCTGGCTCTAGCTTGAGCTGACACCCAAAATGGGGCTCGGTTCTACTGAGTTTCGAGTCCGGCTGGTTCAATTTTTTTCTGGCCAAGATAGAGATAGTTCGAGTCAGGGAGCCAAATTAACACATTTAGAATGATCTCAATATTGGGTCTTTCTCGATATGCTTCGACTCGATTACTACGTTTTTAGGCAGTTTATGTGCCATAGTTTCAATACGGTGTGAGCAGAGTTGGTTGAATGATCCAAGTCTCTTGATCCCTAAGTGTTCACGAAATTATTTCTTTCGATTTAAAACTACCGCAAGTGTACGGTTCGTTAACAAGTAATGAAGTGGATTAAATGAGTCCGAATATCATCCCACGGAGATTGATTAGTTCAATTTTATTTATCGTCACCTTAACTGAAACAATAGAAATTCTAGATATTTTTGCTAACTAAATTATGATTTAATAACCTACTTATAAATATAAAGCCTAAATTAACTAAATGAAATGCATGATTATAACTAAATGCAAGTTTTATAAAAAATATGACAACGAAATGCGTACTAGGATCCCGAATTCCCTTATATCAATCCCCTTTAATCCGAATTTTATAAATTTGACAACACAATTCAATTATGAAGACCAATATTCCTAATTTGTTTAACAATCTCTCTCGAGTAGAATTAAATCTATTTTCACATGCGATCCGACTATATTTCTATGACGGATGCGAACATATAAAAATGTATTAAAAATTTATGAATACTAAAAGATCACGTAAAAATAGCGGTATTTTTTTATCCCCTATCGAACTTTATGACAATTAACATAATGTCTAAC